GTGGTGGAATATATATTTACATAATATAATGCATTATAAAAATATAATGTAATATAAATGTAATACATTACATTTTATATATTATAGATTTGTATATTACATTACTTGTATGGCTATATATTTTATACATTATGGTATACTTATTAAATATGTATATTATTTATTGTTCTTATATTTTACATATTCCACCATAATAAAATAAAATTTAAATTGTTAGAAAGGATTATCTGAATAGGAGGGGTTTTTTTTTTAATTGTATACACTATTGTACTTAGTTTTTGTGTATATCTAACCAAAATTAAAAGAAGCAAAGCATTAGGAGTTCCTGCTTTGGGAAAATCTCATTTATCTTGTCTCAGTCTGCAGGCCTGGGAAGATAAAATCAGCCAGGCTCCAGACCTCCTGAAACCATTACACACACACCCAGTCCCCTTTGACACATGAGGGAAGGGGAGGGGAGGGAAGGGGAGACTGAGAGTCGAGACTGGGACTTGGGGCTCCCGATGTCCATCTAGTCACTGGGGCTCTCCTCTTTTCTCAACACTGCCAGTGAGTTTAGTCAAGAAAAATAGGGGAAAGCTCCTGAGGAAATAATTTTGCAGGAGCCTAAAAAAAAAAAGCCCAGATAGTAGCTCTAAAGATGAGACCAGCAACGCGGGAGTTCACAGTGGAGGAGCAACGCTTCGGAAAGGAGGGTGAGGAGGCGCACTCCTCCATGTCACGGTGCCCACACACAAACTCTAGGACGGGTGTATCTTCTCGACAGCAAGGGAACTTTGTAAGCGCGTGGTCGTTATATAATGTCATGTCAACCTGAGGATATATAAAAGTGTAGGGACGGTATTCAACCTGTCCATCAGGTCACAGCCTGATGGTGCCTCCCTGTGAGCGCGGTCTTCTCATGAGGGGGTCCTGGGACCCTCCCCTTCTCTCTCTGCCTTCATCTTCCAGATGGCTGGCTACTCGAGAGCTGATGCTTCCACCGCCATTGGACCCACACAACTAAGCACCCTGGACCAACCTGTGATGTTCCTGCATTTTGCACCCATGCTTGTGACTGCATGAGTCTGATGAGGGACTTCTGGAATATTACCGGATTGATGGACT